GAGAGCGAGAGGGAGATACACGGAGTACAACTTCTTTGAGTCGGTCAGCACGCTGCACGATAGGCAAAGCTTCGAATGAGAAACAACGGAGAGACAGACAAATTTGCGTGCAAATGCACGAACAACAACAACAGGCGAACTGAACGCAAAACCTTACCAGTAGCGGCAGTAGGTACCGCACCAGGAGACCGTACTGGTAGGTCCCGCCGTCCCCTCCAACAGGCAAACGATCCGGACCATCGGTCCCGAGGTATCGGGCCAATGGCCTGGATTGACACGTGATCTTAAGATCTTAAGACCGTGCACCAATCCGGCCCGTCGATCCGGTAGGCCCCGACGGCCGGGATTTCAGATTTATTACATGTTTCCGACGATCCAGGCCGTGGGCCAGTAGGAGCGATGATGGCCTGGATCAGAGATTGGTTCCCTTAGCAATTTTAATAGTGTAGGGATCATCATCATCAGCTCACCATCTTCATCATCATCATCTTACTGTCAGTAGCATCACAGAGTTGCTCATGGAATGTGAGGCCAGGTATTGCTGATGATTGTTCATAGTTTTTTGATAGAATATCAGTAGCATCATCGAGGGATGCTGGGCCCGGTTCCCAACACGTGCGCCTCTGTCAACTTAACATTAAAAAAAAAAAAAAAAAAAAAAAAAAAAAAAAAAAAAAAAAAAAAACAAAACAAAACAAAACAAAACAAAAAACTTTCATTTCAGGGGACGCTGCATTCCAGCAGGTGTCGCTCCCCACCAATAGACTGGAGCCCCCTGCGTGTCAGGTAGGAGTGCATGCTCCTGCCATCACTCCTATCTGTTGTCACCGGCGGAATTTTCTCAAAAAATAAAAAATAATAAAATCAATTTTGTTTGTTTTCATATTCTGGTTTCTTTCCGTTCAGTACAAGTCCCTGTCCATTTTGTCGTGGGACCCAGCCCTGTTTGTGAGATACATTTCTGAGAACATTCACATTGAACATTCGAGCGATATCTGGTGCCAGTACAAAAGCTTTTCACACGCCCTCTTCCTCAACCAAACGCCGCATATGGCGCTTGGTTCCATCATCCTGCATGACGATCTCCTCAGATCGTTTCAATAGACTCACTCAAGCTTTCAATCTATGAGAGAAGGAAAGAAGACAGAGGATGAGGTCGTGGAGAATGAGGAGGAGAAGGAGGAGGAGAAGGAGGCCACAGGGAGCACGGCGAAATAACTGTTGCTTACCGCATGTATGCCTCATTGAAGTTAAGGAGAATGGGTCTGACATTGTTTGGTTGACTCTGACTCAGAGGAGCCTTTTGGCAGCAATCCGCTGCCGCAACTAGAGTATCCTCCACGCAATCAAACGGCTTATACATCTTGTCGCGGGTGCTGATGTAGCCACAGGCCGAACGAGCGCAGCTCACATTTCCACCTTTGCACCTTTGAATGGCCTCTGGGAAACACAATCACCCGAAGGTCAGGATGGTAAGCAGACCGGAAGCCACGGGGGTGCAGACTTCGGCTAGACAAAAAAAAAAGTGCGCTTACAGTTTGGGCACAACGAACTTTTTCAGTAGAGTCACAAAAACGAGTTATAATTGCACCATGGGGCAAGATACAGTTTGCAATTGCACTTCGGGCACCCTACCTGGCCAGAAAGCTGGGTTGTATACACTGCCCCAACTGCAATTCGAAACTGTATATTTGCCCATAGTGCAATTATAACCCATTTTTGTGACTCCCATGTAGTTTCCCCTTTTATTTTTTATCTAACTATCAAAGGATGGATAGGGTCTTGGAAGACGCCGCCTCTGGGCTGTTA